CCTGCACCCCGACCCGGCTGCGCGCGGGAGGGGCGTGGGGACGGGAGGGCGCCGGGCCTGCTCCGTGTCCGGACCCCCCAACTCCGCGCCTAGCGCTCACTTGGGGGGGGAGGGCAGGCTGCAGTGGGGGCAGGTGGCTACTGGGGGGCCAGCCTCCCTCCTGCACCCGGATTGTGCTCAGCGGGGGCGAGGCCGTGGTGGGGTGAGGGGAGGAAGGAGCTGGGCACCTGCTCTCGTCCCCCCCAGCGGCCCCTCCACCGACTTTGGCTGGCAGTGCGCCTCTCGCGGGTTGGGGACAGGGTCCCCGTCTTTTGTCCCTGCGCCCCCATCTACTTTCTCTCTGAGCACACAACTTCCTTCACCCTAGCGGGAACCCGAGGGGAAAAAATATTTTCGAAAAGTACCCGTCTGTGCTAATCCTTTGTTGCTAATTCGCCAACATTGAAAGACTGAGTATTTTCCTTAAAAAAAAAAAAAAAAAAAACACTTCTTCTGTTTCCTGATAAACTTTTTTTTTTTTTTTAAGAGTGCTTTCCTCCTGAACTGTTGTTGCCAAAAGACGGAATAAACGGCTCATGGAGTCTCTCTGTATTTTTTTTTTTTTAAGTGTTGGTTGGTAAAGGATTACCCAAACACAATGTCAGAGGAGTGACAGGCCCAAGGAAAGTTTGAAAACTATTAGGCCTCGGGACTTGCTTGCCAAACTTTGTTCTACTCTGCACATTTCAGCAGAAGTAAAAGTTTGCTTTGGGGAGGGAAAAAAAAATTAGGGCTCATCCTCGGTTAATGTGATTTTAACACGTTGCTGCAAATGACGGCTGTACAGTCATATGGCGGTCATAAACAATTTTAAAAAATGTGTTTCTAAGCACAGGCGTCAATTTAAAAGTGTGCGGCAACGTGTTGAATCAGTGCCATTTTCCTTTTTATGTTTTATTGTTTTCTAAGTTTATATCGCTACTATGCATATTAACTGAGGGGGGGGAATTATTTTTAAAGATAAAGATTTTGGGCCTCTTTCTTTCCACACCAACCGCACCCCAACCTTAACTGGAGTTTTCAGCCATTGATTGCTGTGGGGTTGAGGTTTAGCAATGTTCAGTCTTGCATTTGGCGTTCTTTGTGCCAGGTAGACGTTCAAAAACAGATTTCAAAGTCCCTAGCTCTAAGAGAGATGCAAATCAATACAACTATGAGATATCCTCTCACCCCAGTAAGAATGGCAAAATATAACAGAACAGCAAGCAACAAATGCTGGCGAGGATGTGGAGAAACTGAAATTCTTATTCACTGTTGGTGGGAATGTAAGATGGTGCAACCATTGTGGAAGGCGGTGTGGCGCT